AGAGAGAGAAGAAAGGAGATAGATTACTGTACCTCTTTAGCAACTGTATGCCAGTGCAGGTGAGTTTCACACACATCCATCCTCTCCTGGTGAAGGAACTTGCATTTATCCGGTACCAGAAGGGCATCACTCACAAACTCGCCCACTGRAAAAAACAAAAGCAAAACCAAAAATGTTTATTTTGCTTCTAGTACCTCATCCTTTCACATGCTCAGCTATGTGTAGGCTGGCTCTCATGAATGACTGTCAGGGACCAGTTTGCAGAGAACAAGAGAGTCTGCCCGGTGCTTTCATGACTCTGTTGTTCAGACTTTGAAAGCAGCTCCTGCCTTGTTTCAGAGCAAGGTTACGAGGACTTTWGTGCAGCAGGGTAGCTCCTATGCACCAGCCCCGAGGCGAGCAGGAGCTGTCAAGGAGACCCGGGGCTAACTCGGGAGCTGCGGAGGCCTCTCCCGGCGCGGGGCGCATGGGCAGTGGGGAGGAAGCGCCAGGCTCGGCCTCGGCACCGGTGTGTGATGAGGAATGAGGCTGGGACCGTTCTGAAACGGTCACAGTTTTTTTCTCCAGTGCAGCCCTGCAAACCCGACTCTATTCCACAGCACTTCTCAGTTACAGCACTAACAGCTACACAGCCTGTGCAGTTATTTGTGTTATGGCAGCCTCTTTCTTGCAACCCCATTTCATCAGCCAGRCAGAAAGGCAAGCGGAGCCCAAGGCGACAGAAGATGACGACTCATGATCATCTCAGTATCACACCTGGGGAGTGGGCTGAAGGGGCAAAAACACCTTACTGAGGAAGCAGGTGACCAAAGAGATTGTGCACTAGGACAAAAGCTTACACATCCGTGAGTAACAATTCCGACARCACAACTAAGCAATCCCCAAAACCTTCAGTGGTTTTTGTTGAAGGAAAATTGCTGGAATGGTTGCAAGAAGCTGACATGCTGACCAAGTCCAGCCTAGTCAAGGCACATGACTCAGCTGGCACAAACTACCAGGTCTCTGCGGCAGATTTGCTGCAATCACCAAGAAGCTACAGCCCACGAGGTCCAGATGGACAACTCCAAATGGCCCAAAGGTTCCTGCACATAACGAGTTAATTAAACAAATGAGATGGCTGCAGGTTTACTGTTCAGCATGKGGTCATCTCAGGGAGCTAATGAAGTGGCCCTTGAGACTTACAGCTAAGAAGATACAGTACAGATAAGTACAAGCAACACTCAACTCCAGTGTCCACAGTGCAGAAAAGTCTATGTATACACCTGCGCTGTAGATAGGTGTATTTTGACCTACATGTCCGTGCTCTATTTCAATGCGTTTGATTGCAAATCTTTTAAGAGTGAGTTAGTTAATTTACTAGGGAAAAAGGGGCTTTATTTCTCTTGCTTGACAGACACTAACAGATGCAAATTATTATCAGAAACTTCTTACAGGAGTGTTCAAAATAAATCTGGAAGACTAGCGAGCTGAAACGTATTCTGCTCTCAGTCTACAGTTTCTGTTAACAACCTCTCTGCTCCCACTGTTATCACCCTCCAACCTGCCAAGGCAGCTCGAATTTGCACTAGTTTGAGCTGCCTTTCTCCCTGTGGGCAGCACCGGTCCCCCAGGCAAAGTCGCTCAGCTCGTGTTTCAATGCAGCCCCTTAGCACGGAGGCCGGCCCAGGTGCCCAGGTGAGGGTCCACTGGCAGCGTGGGGCTGCCTGGCTCTCAAACGACACGACTCTTCATAAGGAACCGCTGTGGGGCTCTGCGCCCGAGCAGCCAACACAACAGCCACCAAAGTCCTTTATGGCAAACATTTCTAACCCCCAAAGCCTCCCAAAACCTGCAAATCTGTAACACTGGCAGGCACCATTAAGTCCATTTTAGTCCAACGAGATTTGGTTTAGCAAGCTGCRTGTACAGTCCCAGATGTAACCTGAGATCACGCCCTGGAAACTCTCTTTTTCTTCTACTCTTGTTGTAATTGGGTTGACATCTCAAACATTCATTCTGCCTGGCCTATTCATTGGGAGCACAAACCTATCAGACAGAAGCCCTTTAAAACAGCTCAGTTTGTGGATAAGCCCCCAGCTGTATCAATTACTCCAAAACACGTTTATTTAACCCTTCCAATGCTGTCGAACGACAGCCTGTTGGGGCGGTTTTGCCTTGGTTCAAGGGCCCAGCCAGAGGCCCTGCAGGAGGGAGCAGGGCGGAGGGAGAAGCACTGGTGCTTGCCCAGGGCGCTCGGCTTCGGCACATGGGGAAAACCCTGCAGAGCTTCTCTTCTCCCTGCTGTTGCCTGAAGGACTGCTGGAATTAGCCCACATTTACAGAAAACGTCAGGGTAAACTCAAAAAGCAAACCCTAAGAGAAATGGTTTTCTGTTCGGTCTCTCTGTTACAGCAGCTTTAGTCCTACAAGGTCAACAGGAGGAAGGGAAAATAGCAACACAAGTCCTGGCTATGCAGGTTGTAGCTCTCGATATTTCTAACTGCTTGAGTATCCAACATTGGTTTTATCTGTCATTGCCAAGTGCTGGGATTGCCGAACACTGCTCAACCCCCAAACTCCCTTTCCTTCAGATACCTCTGGAGATCAGCTCCTGCCTCCCCTCTTTAGCATGCAGGGCACAGACCTGTTTTGTCCTCAGGTCCCTCCTTCCCAGTCTCTTCCCTCCTCATCCTCGTGGGCCAGGGGTTGCTGCAGGGCCCAGGCGGCTGGCGGGTGCCAAGGGGTGGCTGAGTCGASACCACCACCGCCAACAGAAGCCCTTCCAAAACCTGTACTGATCCGTGCTGCAGCACAGGATGGGYTGGTGTTAGCACCACCAGGCTCACATTTTTCCTGTATTTTTGCATCCTCTTCAAATACCTTGCCGCTCCCCCAAGTAACCCAAGTGTAACYGGTTGTTGCCCCAAGAGCTGGTCACTCATCTTGGCGGCGAAGGCCTCACCCCAACCAGACTGCTTTGGTTTGTGGCCTGGACAGCTCTGCACAAAGCCACCTTCACATGGGCTCCTGGGCTCRACTTGTGTAAAGACACAAGGTAAATTAAATCCTGGGCCTACAATTTATTTAGCTGAAGAGTAACAAGTCTCTGCTTTCTTTTAAAATCAAGTCGCTCATTCCCAACTCATGTATATATTTCAACAGCAACATTTAAGGTGCCGTATTCACTGTTCATTATAAAGCTCAAAATGCCCCTGGAATGCAGAYCACAGCAAGCAAGTCACAGCTTTATTCTACAAATCTATTTTTTCCTAATATTAGTAACCTCTTATGATTCAAAGGCCTACTCTACATTTACACTGGGCTTCCTCATGGCATTATGCTGTTGTATCACAGTGGAGTGGCAGTTCACATTTTTCAAAGATAATTTTGCCTGGGATTGTGACRCCTCATTTTACTATTAAATCATTTTACTGCAACCACGCATGCCCCATTTTTCCTGAAAAATACTGTTGGAACAACAGGAGACTGCAGGGTGCTTGATCAGAAGTTTGATTCCGAAACGCACTTCTCTACACAGCGAGGACTGAGAGCATGAGGACTCAACCCAATGCTCAAGAAAAGAATTAAGATTCTAGTTGAGGCACCTGATGACAGAGCCTTTCAAATCACCTGTAGGAAGAGAGAGGCTCAGCAAGGCAGCAGCTGCACGACGGATGCCAAGCAGCTCAAAATGGCAACTAGACCGTCTAACCTCTGCAACATTTCTCATGTTATCAAGGAACAAACAACTATGAACTTCTGATGGACAAAGCACTTGACTAAAAACCAGCAGTTGTGGCTGTACTGCACCTCAGAGTTCGGATGTTGTTACAGCAGTCTTGGAAAACCTGAACTCTAAGTATTCATTAAGATGTAAGTGTTTATTAAGTCCAGTATCTGGATTGGACTTCAAGTATTCATTAAGATAAAATAAATAAGAGAAGGCAGGAAATACYAAACAGTCAGAAGATCATCTGAACTAAAACGGGTGCACCTTGTATTTGCTTTCCCGTTAGGCTCCACTGCGTACACAAACTGCTAATGTCCTCACTTCAATGCAATCCTCCTATAGAACCCTGTAAAACGAGGGCTCTTCTCAAACCCTCCTCCAAGTCTTCGATSGCAAGCACCAACAGAATTTCTGCTGACTTTGCTACTTTTGTGCCCGACTGCCTTTTCTCCTATGATTTACTTGCTTTCCAGACAGAGTGCAAATATTATTCAGATTTCACAAACCAATACTGGATGCATTTGTTTACATGCAGAATGATCCAAGTACGCATCATTACATTCTCTGTCATCTCTACAGACAAGCTGTAAAAACATTTTCTTTTTTAAAGTCTGTAGCACTTCARTGATTTATTGAAGCATTAAGTTCATTTCCTTCTCTGTTCTCTCTTCTGCTTCTCTCCCATCTTCAAGGAAAATATTTCGGGGCGTAGAGACACCTCTCCTGTCCCTCATTGATGTCATAAAACAGAACTGTGCCCATGCCTGTTCCTGACACTGGTACCATGGTTTATGTCAGGTGCTGTGATTCTCTGCCCCATCTTACCTCTCTAAAACACCCACACAAATACAAAGCACTTCCTCAGGACTTGTATCGGCAGGACCAGCAGCCTAGGTCACCCGGGTATCTAGGAACACGGTGCTGTAAGAAGTCATCTTATTAATTTGCTAAGATATTGTGCACTTGCACTAGAAGCTGACTAAAGACACCAGTCCAACACTGTACAACCAGATGCTCCCAAAAGGTGAGGGTGCTTGGCAGGAACTCGGCACAGCTGGGACCAGCGACCCCCGTGCTCTGCATTACAGTTCACTGAGATGATTCTCACGGACTGCTCTTAACTGGGGTACATACCCACTACTGGGTACAAAGCTGCATATAGGGTGCACATACRGTACATAAAGGTAAGTGGAAGAATTAAAACGTTACATTCGTGTTTTAAGGTTTGGTCACTAAAAACTATTTCAAAATGACAGTGTTCCTGCAAAAAAAAACAAACCAAATTTCAAATAAGGAAGCCACTACTGCAGTGGAATGAACTCATTTTTGTTTGTGTTTTCTTTCACTAATCTACTTCTAGAACACCTTCATACTGCATATTTCAGTCCAAAATTGAGCCTCTCTTTTCACTTGGACAGCAGCTCAGTTCTGCCCTT